TGGTTATTGGAATGCTCGTATTAGATGACTTTCAGTATCCACTGCACTCATCCGTCCCTGTGTCAACCGACTACTACCACCGCTTTCGCTGTGTCTTCGCTTCCAAGATAGGCTATTAAGGGTACGTGGGACTTTCGCGACTACCGCAAGCAGCTACAGCTTACGTAGGCCTTGCCCGCTGACCGCACTGATTTTGTGGGGTAGCCGGACGAGGGCGAGAGAGTTTGGAAAGGAAAAGGAATGCGCCTATGTTGATGACGTCATTCGTCGTCCGCAAAATAGTGTCGAGCGCGGAAGTCAGTGGGCATAAAGAAGGAGGTGGTGTTGTTTTTTTTGCAAACTCCACACCGATTCTCCTTGTTTTTTCTTCATCGCTGCACCATCGCCATCTCCGTTTTTATTTCCAACGGGGTCCAATTTATCGTTCCATCTGCCTTTAAGTTTTCAGGCGGGACTATGAAAATCGAACTATGTATGCCACTTAGAAACAGGGGTAAACCACATAACTGGATACAATCGGCCATCGAAGAACTGAGACCGTAGAAGGTTGTGAGGAAGACGAAGAGGAGGGTCGCATTGGCCAAAAAACGCGGCTCACCCTAGCCTATCGAAGTTAGACAAAACGTGACAGCTTTGTCGATTTTTTCCTTTTATTCTGGTCCCATAAAGCTGTGAACATTTCTAGAAGTCCTCTATTTCTCTTTCCTATTTCTTTTTGGACTTTTGGACCCTTCCCATTTCAACGGCAAACGCTGACAGTTGCGTGATGATAAGAAATGAACGTTTTCGGAGAGATCGACCAACGAAGACATCTTGATTGACAGTGACTTTGATAGCAATCATTCTTATCTTGACAGCGCTTTGACTGCTCAAAAAACCGCATTTTGCTACAGAAAAGACAAAATTTTCCCGTTGCAATGATTGCAGACGACTTTTTCAAAATGAACTTCGCTCTCTTGATAAAAAAAACTATTGAAGATATTACCTTTTGCATGGCATCTATAGAATCGACACGAAATGCTACATCCTTGACGGCGTCACCATGCACGATCAGCTGTTGCGAACTTTCCGGATCATGAGAATTCATAGATTTCAGTACAAATATCACCTACACGAAGGTAAATATTTAAATTCTTGCAATTGATTAGAAGTGCTAATCAAATCCTCACCCGGCCATTTCGTATGGCTATGCATGTTTCGACGTCGTTCTGCTTCACGGCGAATCTTTGGAATCCAAAACAGCAGCAGTACCAAAATGACGTCTGAAATTACAGAAAAATGGGTCAGGAATAGTAGTTCTTCCTACATTCATATGGAGGCCTGAGAACTACGGTTGTGCTTCTGCAGAGTTAGTGCTGAGTTCGCTACTTGAAGATTTTTTACCAACACGCCCCCTTCCACTCCCCGCGATCTCTCTCTCTCTCACCTCAACCTTCCCATGAATTGCCATTCCACTGGTAGGAAGGGCGTCAGTTGACAACAACTGCACTGATTCCTCTTATTTTGACATATTTTCCAACTCCGCCACATGAAAGCATGGCGAATTCCAGCGGTAGACAGGGAGAGAGGGGAAGGGGCGGTGGTTGGAGAAGGGTGGAAGTACGACTTGTGACATTGGCAAACACATTCCTCTCCTGCCACCAATGCAAGTACGACTCCTGTCAAGAATTCCCAAGCTGAGCTCACCCAGGCTGCTACAAGGTCTTGCCACGTCTGGATACTACGACTCATTGGCTGCTTACGGTGCTGCTAGGTTACTCCAGAGTCCCTTCAGGTCAATAAAATTAGTAGTAATCCGAAGATAACCGGGTCCCAACTATGCTTTAACATTTTTATGCGGCCATGGAAGAGAGTCCGAAGCGTACAGTGGGCCCCCTAAGTTGATTCCTCGCCGACATTACGGTACACATGTTTTGTGTGCTTCTCTAGAAGAAATTATAATCATGAAGACAAATTTTATCTGGGTATGCTAGAAATTCGCACAGTGGACAGCACTCGAACTAAACAGGTACTTATCTAGCTCCATCGATCACCGCTAGTGAAGTGGAGCAAATGGTGTGCGCCACTTTATCGCTGTATGCTGAGCACAGAAAAAATTGCGTCATCTCTATGAGAGGTATGACCACAAAAAATTCCTAACGTGGTGTCGATCCGCATCCGACTCGCGCAATCGCGCGACGGATCACAAATCACAAAAGCCCCGATCAATACTGCAAGGTGCTCTCCAATCCGCCGCCATTTCTGCTTGATGGTGATGGCTGAATGACGACTGTTCATGATTCTACTTGTTTCATATTCAGTGTTTCAAATTTCAAATGAGGCACTTGCGATTTTTGCGATTCCCGCGACTGGCGCGAATCGCGCGACGGATCGCGGACTCTGAAACAGCTTAAGGAAATGCGAGTCGCCGGCAGATGGGAATTTGCGGTAACCTCTTCTCGTCAAGTAATATTCTCCTATCTCAAGGCCATCATGTTTTCGGCTCCACTCAGCACCGCTCCGAGAGAAGAACATCGTCGTAATCGGTCAAACCAGAATGACGTCATTTGAAGCTTGAGTCGGTTCAACATGGGCGAGTTCTTTGAAACTTCGGTGGTAGTTCAGGAGTTTGTGTACTCAACTTATATCACTCCATGGCGGTTATATTACCTTACTTTGTGTTGCTGTTTTTGAAACGTCAAGAAAGTAACGTTTTGCATGAAAATTGCAGAAACTTGTGGAACACCCCAATACAACCACAGCAGAGTAAATAGGACCAAGAAATTATTATATTTTTGCTAATGAGAAAAACATTAAAAAGAAAGTTAGTCATTAGTCAGCAAGAACGAGTTCAACAACGAGAGCATACTATACCTGAAGAGCGTTTGAAACTCGAAATTCGACATGATGAAACTCGGAAAGCCCATTCATTACTCAGTTCAAAAGACAATCTGAAAAGAAAGCAGCATATTTTGCAACGTTCCGTTACCATCATGTGTACCAACGATTCATGCATTAATTCGTAACTGAAACTGTGCTCACAAGCGCCAGTTGAAAATTGCGCTAAGCGATAGCAACTTTGATCGGACAAAAGCGCTCATCGAAAGCGCTTGTAGATCAAAACCTCAAAGAGAAGCAACTAAAGAGGCAAGAAGCAAAAGCAAAAGAAATGTGGAAAAAATGAGAATAATTGCATGACAGCAGTAACTCCCA